CTTTTAGAGAAGAAATTTTCAAATTTTCATTGTGGGTCATTTCTCCTTCTGATCATTATAGCTGGTTCTTGAAGAAGGAGACCACTTTGTCCTCCACAGTACACAAAATCGGTTCTGTTGTTTCCACATCAGGGTGCCTTGAAGCCAGTTTCCTGAACATCTCCAGTGGTGAACAACATCTTTTAAGTCTGAAGAAGACATATGGTCATCACTTTACTTTTCCTCCTCACCACTGTCTGTTTCTAGCATCTCATCCAGTTGTTTCAAGTCTTCAGGAGTAAGTTCCTGCTCATGAGACATCACAAGCTCTTCAACATCATCCTCTTCCACTTCGAGCCCCATTGACTGACCAATGGACACAATCCAACTCCGTTTCTTCCTCAAATCCCTCAAAATCATGGACTGCTGTTGGCCACAGTGCTTTCCATGCAGAATTCAGGGATCAAATGGAGACTTCTTGCCATGCTGACACGATCAATTTTACAGCCTCCAGGATGTTGTATTGTGTCTTCCAAAACTGTGCCAGTGATGGATCAGGATCAGTGGAAGTTGGCTGATGACATCTTCTGAACATTTTCTTCATGTACAGCTTCTTGAAGTTGCTGATTACATTTTGGTCCATTGGCTGCATAATTGATGTAGTGTTGGGAGGCAAAAACAAAACTTTGACAAAGTCAAATTGCGCCTCCAAAGTGCTGGCAATTTCAGGTTCATGACCAGTGGCATTATCCAGAAGGAGAAGAGCCTTTAAAGGAAGTTTATTTGTGGTGAGGTAACTCTTCACAGAAGGGCAAAACACCTCAACAGCCCATTCATTGAAGAGATGTCTCGTTACCCATGCCATTACGGTTTGACTTCCAATAAACTCCAAGTTGTCCTCTTACCACCTTTTGTTGCTTGAACACCCTGGGGTTCTCAGAGTGGTAGACAAGCATAGGCTTCAGTCGGAAATCCCCTGAAACATTGGCACCAAGCAATAGAGTGAGACGGTCCTTCATGGGTTTATGCCCCGGTAAAGAAGCTTCATCTCTGGTGATGAATGTCCTTTTGGACATTTTCTTCCAGAACAGCCCAGTTTCATCCACATTAAAAACTTGCTGTGGAAGATAATTCTCTTCATCCACCAGTTCCTTGAACTCCACTACAAATTTTGCTGCTCCTTCTTTATCTGCACTGGCAGCTTCACCATGCCTAACAACACTATAAATGTCACTTCTTTTCTTAAATTTATCGAACCAGCCCTTGCTGGCCCTAAACTCTTCAAACACAGTTTCAGAAGAACTAGGTTGATCTTCCTTCAAATGTTCATATATTTCCCTGGCTCTTTCACAAATAAATTCAGTAGAAATGGAATCTCTTTTCATTTGTTTTTCTTTAATCCAAGTAAGAAGTAACCTCTCTGTTTCTGCAATTAATGATCTACCTTTTAACACTGGTAGATTTATCTTTTACTTTTACTTCTTTAAATTTTTCTTTCTGCGCAAGAATTGTAGACACAGTTGATGCCGACATGCTATATTCTTTACTTAGTACATTTGTTCTAATGCCTTCTTCATGTTTCTTAATAATTTCCTATTTCACTTGAATTGAAATTGCCTTTCTAGATTTCTTAGGACCCCTCATGGATTCAATACAGTAATTTCACCACTAAAATTTTAAGTTCACTAGCTGTAATTATAGATTATTTTATTTAAATCAACACTGCACTGCGCTATTTATTATCAATATGTTAAATAAATTTCAGAATGACCAATAATTGTAATGTAAAAACGTAAAAAATACTCTGTGTTCAAGAGACCCACAAGCAAGTTGTTTCCTCCACTGTACAGAGAGTTACAGATGCTTTGGTGGGTGAGTGAAGTGGCTGATGGGTGCACCAAAAACTAGTTCCCTGTACTGCATATATTTTCAATTACAGCTCCTCCCTGACTTACGACGGGGTTAGAGACCCAAATCTGTGTACTGACATTGGGACTCAGAAAATACGTAATTTGACAAAATTTTTGAATTACCACGACTGAGGCGGTGTGAAGTTGAGGAGGCTGAATAAATGTTAAAATGACTAAATTATTTAATATAAAACTTGCAAAAATATTAAAACACAGCCTTCTTGATATTTTACTTAATGAAACGAATGTAAACCTAGAACACGATTACTGTATTGGCGGACTACCCTATCAGCTGATCATAAAGATAAAACATGTTGTCATAAGGATTTCGTTAATCGAATTGAAGATTCTTATGGAAGGCAAGAATTCGTTAACAGTGTTCTTTGGCAGGGGGACCGCGGCTGATGGCTTGTGTATATATAACATAGCCTTATATATATATATATATATATATACCAAAAACTAGTTCCCTGTACTGCATATATTTTCAATTACAGCTCCTCCCTGACTTACGACGGGGTTAGAGACCCAAATCTGTGTACTGACATTGGGACTCGAAAATACGTAATTTGACAAAATTTTGGTACGACTGAGGCAGGTCGTAAGTTGGGGAGGAGCTGTATGTTAATTAAATGTTAAAATGACTAATTATTTTAATATAAAACTTGCAAAAATATTAAAGAGCACAGCCTTCTTGATATTTGCTCCAATGGAAACGAATGTAAACCTAGAACCGATTACTGTATTGGCGGACTACCCTATCAGCTGATGCGCAAGATAAAACATGTTGTCATAAGGATTTCGTTAATCGAATTGAAGATTCTTATGGAAGGTAATTCGTTAACCGAACTGTTCTTTAACCGAGGGACCACTGTATGTATGTATGTATATATATATATATATATATATAATATATATATATATATATATATATATATATATATATATATATATATATATATATATATATATATATATATATATATATATATATATATATATATATATATATATATATATATATATATATATATATATATATATATATATATATATATATATATATATATATATATATATATATATATATATATATATATATATATATATATATATATACACAGTAAAACCTCGATTAACCAACTTTCAGATTCCGTCAATCCCGAACCCCTAATTTTTTTTATTTGTTATTTTTTTTTACGGGGATTAGCCCACCCGGGCACAGGTCACTGACCCACATCGGGGCCTGGGGGGCGATAATGTAATAATATTAATAATGATAATGATAATAATAATAAAAATAATACCTATAGTAATAAAGAACCATAAAGAAATGCAAAAATGAAAAAAAAATCAAGAGTATGTATGTTGTGTTGTATAGTAAGAGAAACAATTGAGACCCTGCAATTGTGTGTAAATGAGGCAGAAAGTCAAATTAGCAACCTGGGACTTGGTCACAATTTTTGTGATGACATACCGTATATACTCGTCTATAACCCCCCCTCGTTTATAGGTCGACCCTGATTTTTTGACCAAGAAATCGTTAATTTACGATATTCCTCGTTTATAGTTCGACCCACGTTTTTGAGGGTAATGGAACAACAAAACCTTCACTAAAAACGCTGTACGTCCTATAAACTGAAGCTCACCGTGCATGAAACACAAATGCCGAAGGCAAATTGTTTACCATTTATTATTACGACACTTTACACTGAAACGCGGGAAATTTCAACAAAAATATTGTATATTTCCATTCAAGTATTTATTCAAGTCAATTAGGAGGGAATATTATTGTAATACAACAGTTTTTTAACTAAACCATTCGAAAAGCGATTACGGTAACATCTTTCGAACGAAAGAAAGCGAAAGTCATTGCTTTCGTCACGATTTTATCCCACTTTCCATTGTAATACGCACGTATTTCAGCAAAAATATTACATTTCCGTGAATGCATTATATCAAGCACAGTATGAATAGAATACCATTGTAATATAACAGAATTTTAACCGAAAACTATTAAAAAAACGAGTAACATCTCAAGAACAGAAGCTTAGGTAAAGTCTTTTGTTTTTGTCATGTATTTTATCCTATTTTACATTGAAATACATCACGTTTCAGCAAAACTACTATTTATTTCCGAGAATATATTCATTCAGGCGCAGTTTAGGTAAAATATACGCGTGATGTAATAGTTTTTTAACTGAAAACGATTCGAAAAACACGTACCCTCTAGCCCTGTTCAAGGAGAGGACTGGGAGAAGTTGTTTGGTGCTGCAGACGATGACAAGGAAAATGATTTTGATGGATTTTTATGAAAATATTCAGAAATATGGTATCGTAGTATTTATTCAAGTCAATTAAGATAGAATATTATCGTCATACAAAAGTTTTTTAACTGAAAACCATTCGAAAAGCGATTACGGTAACATCTTTTGAACGAAAGAAAGCAAAAGTCATTGCTTTCGTCACGATTTTATCCCACTTTCCATTGTAATACGGACGTCATTTCAGCAAAATTATTACATTTCCGTGAATGCATTATATCAAGCACAGTATGAATAGAATACCACTGTAATATAACAATATTTTAACCAAAAACTATTAAAAAAACGAGTAACTTCTCTTGAACATCGGAAGGTTAGGTAAAATCTTTTGTTTTCGTCATGTATTTTATCCTATTTTACATTAAAAAACATCACATTTCAGCAAAACCACTATTTATTTCCGAGAATATATTCATTCAGGCGCAGTTTAGGTAAAATATACGTGTGATGTAACAGTTTTTTAACTGAAAACGATTCGAAAAACACGTGTACCGTCTAGCTAATACAGCTGGTGGTGCGTGATGCGTCATGCATCGTTGTAAACAATAGGAGGTTGAAGTAGATTACCGGGTATTATATTAAGTGTGAAATATCGAAAAGGTTTTTAATACCGGTATTTTTTGTAGATCAATGAGAACTGTGATACCGTATATGATATGATAAGTTAGCCTGTGCTAAGAACTTCAACATAGAGAGTTAATTAGTATTAATTATGTTTTCTTTAAACTAGAAGAATGCAATACTTTCCAAACCTGACAATAATTAATAACATGTTGGTGTTCATCAGGGCTACTATCAGTACCAGCCAATGTAGGAGGTGACGGAGGGTCCACAAGATCGTCCCTGAGTGATGCGTCTGCTATCAGCAGTTCTTCCACCCGGACATATGTTAATGAAGCGTCCACACTCATTATTGAGACCAGTGAGAATGGTGTCTTTAAGTGAGTGATAAGTTGAAGAAGTTAAAAAGTACCTTTCCTTTTTAATCCATCCCAGTAAATTATTGTAGTGAACTTAAATCACTATGGAATATGGATATAGAAAATATCTGGGTGGTACAGTGAATATAGAATTTATATTTATAAGGATATATTAAATACTTTTAATAATTAGATTTTAAACTTAAGATAGGCTTTTCATTCAGCAACCAGAGGATGCATTCCTCCTGTTCAAATTATTTCATGTCCTCATGATGTGAATACTGTACAATATGTTGTTTATTTTAATTATTGGTTAATTGTTAAAATACTTTTATTTTCCCTTAGACATTACTTGATTCCTTTGGCGCTACAGCAGAAGAGTAAGTGGAGGAAGAAAGGCTTAAAGCTTCACATCTTTGGGGAGCACACCTTCCTTGCCAAGCACATGTCCAGGTATTTACAACTTTATGCTGATATTCACACTCCTGGAAATTTCTTATAAGATTATTACTGATAGCTATTGCATTTTTAGATTTAAAATTAATGCTTGTCATGATTAAATCATTAAATTTCTAGCTATACAGTATTAGACACTATAAAAAATAAATGTTTGTTTGTTTGGGACAGTTAGTAAACATAGATACACAAGTAATTTCACGAACTTCTTGGCCTACAGCACAACACCATGTGAAGTGTGTCACAAGACATTAGGAAGGAGATTTGGCAAACAAGGTTATGTGTGCCGTGACTGTGGTTTCAAATGCCACAAGCCATGCCATGTAAAGACAGAAATAATATGTCCTAACTCTACTGTCAACAGCATGGACCTGTAAGTTATTTTACATCCTTGAGTTTTAATTTTTATAAATTTAGATAAGGACTAATTATACTGTAAGTAGTAAACCCTAATTAATTTAATAGTTCTTGCCTATTTAATTGGAATGAGGTGTCTGGTGATATCTCTTTTCTTTCAGCTGTCATTAGAATGTTTGGTCTGTTTACAGCACTGGATAAAACAGTATTTAAGATGAATGATACAGTAATCAGGACATTTTTGCAGTATGTTTCACCTTCTTGCCGCTCTATTCACCAGAAATATTATTTAAAAGCCTAGAAAATCCAGCATCAGCCCGGATGGTTTGTGTTTTTGATGTGCGGTTGAACGTCTGTGCATGGGTGTCACGCAGCACGTGTCTCAGTCTGAGTCTTGCCTTCATATATATCGTATCATTGCATCGCACCGCACTACCTACATTCATTTATGTGAACTTTTATATGAAGATTACATATTGTCTTTAACGGGAATACTTGAGGGCCTTAAGGAATGGGTAAAATTATTTTAAGAAATAAGTAAAATTTAAAAAAAATTACTAATGAAAAGAACTAGACTTACTGACTGAATACTGTACAATGTTCTAATCAGATGTGCTGTAGGTCTAATGAGAGCTAAGACACTGTGTATGTAAACAGGTTTGGGGTGGCGGGGGGACTGGGCATTGCCCCATTTTCCAGGTTTATTTATTGATTCAGTATTGTACTGTATTCTCATATGATCAGCCTTTTATGGTGTATGAGTCATCATAATTAATATAATATCTTCACTTATAGAAAAAATATATAGAATCTGTAACTTGACTTGAGAATACAGTGAGTTCTGCTATAACGCGTGTTTTGATAACGCGAATTTGCTCTAACGCGATTTGTGAATTAGGAACGATATTTGTATAACGCGAACGCTTGTTTGCTATAATGCGATTTTTGCTTACTATTTCTCCAATTTTGTGGCATTAACTGTGAATATGGTAAAGAAGAATATCTCCAAGAAGCGTTCTGGTGATAGAATTCCCGGTGATGATCGTAAAAGAAAGGATATAACACTTGAAGAGAAGCTCGATGTTATCAACCTCAAAATCACCCTTCTCCCCCATCAAGTTACATTCATATTTTGTCAAGGTAAAGTATTACATTTACTGTATGATTTCATTATTAGATATGAATGTAACATTTATTTAGACTGTGCTATCCTTTGTGTTAGGCTAACTACTAAATTTTTTCGATTTCGAGTAATCTGCACCTAACCCTATTTTCTCCATAAGCCCTGTTATTTCTATTACGCGATTTTCTATAACACGATATTTTACAAGAACACAATTATCGCGTTATAGCAGAACTACCTGTAAAAGGATAAGCTGTATTGGAAGGTATTTGCTGAGAATACATTCCTGGAGAGAGCTGTCAACAAATTAGTTATAACAGGATCACTATATCATACTGTATAGTATTTGATGTGGAGATACTGTACATTCCTAACAACATTATTTATTACCTTTGAGTGATACACGATGGCTCAATTTGACTACTTATGCACTAAGACAACTAATTAATGAATAAACCAGGGAATATGCAGAAGCATAATACACTACAATGAACCCTCACTTTACGCGGTTAATTGAACCCACGGCGGCCCGTGTAAAGTGAACAACATAACATATGGGATTAATTGAAATAGAGACCGGGCCGACCCCAAAACTTTATGATGGTATTCACACACACATAATATAGAAGGGAACAATCAATAAGAGAATAAGATACTGAAGGTTAGGTTAGAAAAAAACAAGGTTGGGGTTAACACTTACGTTAGTAGAAGAGATGGGTCTGCGTAGGGGAATGGAGGCTGGTTCCGAGGCAGAGGGCAGGCTACTGGCCCTCAGGTGAGTCTTCATCGGTGTCATCCACACTTACTAGTGCCTCCCTGACAAATCCCTCAAAGTCATCATCACTGTCTCTGCCTCTGTCACTATCACTGGCTTGGGCTGGCTGTGGTGGGTTGCGGGCGAAGAACTCTGTTATGCTTTGCTGACGGCTGGTGTTTATGTTGTCGTGATAAACCTTGATGTAGGGCTCCATAGTCTGCAACAGCTGGGTAGTGAAGATTTCATACCTGTTAGCGTCAGGGTCGTCGGAAAGGAGGAGCTTGACTTTCTCAATACACTCGATGGCACCCCTTACATTACTATGGGATAACTGGCGTTCTTCTTGGGATGACGCACCACCTGCCTCTTCACTGACGTCATCATCATCTACCATCTCGTTGGTAGTCACATCAGTATCCCTTATCACCTCCAGGATGTCGTTGTTGGTGGTCTCGGAGAAGCCTGCAGCTGTAACACTCTGCGCAGCTTCTATGGCAAGGTCCACTGCTACTGCAACAGTCTGAACCTCACCAGCCACAGATTTACTCTGCCTAACACCCGGAATACCTTGCAACACATGTCTCCATGCGTGACGAACAGTTGCTACAGACAGCTGATCCCATGCCTCCACCAAGAAGTTCAAAGCTTTCTTGACGTTGAATGTTCTCCAAAATTGTCTCACAAGTACTTCTTGCTCTGCCAACTGTTGATCCTCGTCGTCTTCGCTCTTGCTATCGGTGTTGGTGTCACTCAGGTTACACAACTCTTCCTTGGTGTTGGTGTAGTCGTTCAGGAGCTTGAATTTCTTGGCAGAGAATGCAGCTTTTACATTACAGATCAATTCTTGGCCCATGGGCTGTATTATAGACGTAGTGTTGGGAGGAAGGAAGACCACTTTTATGTTGGGGTGACGATCTAACAGTAGGGGCGAGTGTCCTGGTGCGTTGTCAAGCAGCAACAAAATCTTGAATGGAACATTCTGTTGCTCACAGAATTGCTTCACATCGGGAACGAAACAGTCATCAAACCAGGAGAGGGACAGAGTAGAGAACATCCACTCCTTACGTGCGGTCAGCCAGTGGACATTTAGCTTGGTCATGTCCATGCTCTTGTAGGCGTGCGGTTTGCGTGCTGTGTGGATCACCGATAACTTGAGCTTACAGGCATCGGAGGCATTGGTGGTAAACAGGACGGTGATGCGCTCCTTCTGCAACTTCCGGCCCCGACACTTGCTGGCATTCTTCACAACAAAGGTCTTGGAAGGTAGCTTTTTCCAAAAAAGACCAGATTCGTCCATGTTAAACACCTGGTCGTTGGTGTACTGTCCTTCCTCCATAATCTCACGTAAAAACGGAGGAAATTCCCTAGCCGCAACACAGTCAGCACTAGCTTCTTCACCACCAATGTTGATATTGGTGATCTTGTTCCTCATCTTAAACCTCTGTAACCACCCAGAGGAAGCATTAAAGGGTTTGGGCTCTGTAATTCCCATCTTTCGTGACACTGCAACATACAGTTCACGTGCGTACTCCTTAACTGAGCTCGTGTCCACCGTCATGTTCCGTCGCTCCTGACGAACCAAGTAGCTCACAAGTAATTTTTCCGTCTTGAGAAGCACCTGGTTGTGGAAATACTTGATCATAGAAGCACCTGTAGACTTTGTGATGTTCATGTGCTCCTTTATCTTGGCTGCATCCTTCTTAATTGTCCTGATAGTTGATTCATTAACACCATGCTGGCGCGCGAGATCAACCTGTCTTGTTCCTTTCTCCAACTCTTGTATGATCTTATATTTGATTTCGTAGCTTAAGGAACGTCATGTCTTCTTTGGCTTAGGGCGGCTGGGTCCAGGTAATGCAAGGTTTCTTTATGGTGGTGGTGGTGGTCCGGTGGAAGCCATTCTTATGGAACAATGGATACCGATATACACGGTGTAGCCGGGAGGGGTGTAACTGACGCGGGTAGGTCAAGGGGCTTGAACGCTCCTGCGGCAGGGCACGTCATAGTACATTAAACCAATCACAGCTAACGGGGAGGGAGGTAAGGATGGTTTGCCCAATCACAGTCCGCTACGTCATATGACGTCACTGATAACACAACAAAGACATACACTGCACAACCTACTCGCGCCGCTTACACAACATGGCGGATGGCGGGAGAGATGGCGGGAGGTTTGGATCCAAAAATGGCGCGGCGCGAGAGGACCGCCAGCCGCTTTCCGCGTAAAGGGGTACACACACCGTGGAAAGTGAGCATTCCGTGTTCGGCAGGGTACCGTGTAAACGTGGAAACGCGTAAAGTGAAACCTCGTAAAGCGAAGGTTGACTGTACAATATTATTTATTAGGGACTGGTAAATACACTACACTATTATTTACTTAGTGCTGAAGATGTTGTGGTAAGCATGAGAGATGGAGAGGCCATTAACATGGTGAGGGAGAGCTAGGATGATCAGCTTATCATGCTTTGTAAACAAGGACCATGAATTTATTATGACATACAGTGGTCCCTTGGTTAACGAGCACAATCCGTTCCAGCAGGTTGCTCGTTAACCGAAACCATTGTTTCAATGGGTTTTTGGGTAATTGGTTCCAGCTCACCGAAAATTGCCTAAATTCAACAAACAAGGTAGAAAAGTACACTTACTTTGAGGTGTGTATGTAGAAGGCTCCTGGATGATGATGATGATGATGGGAATTAGAGTGGGGGTGGAGGAGAAGGGAGAAGAGAAGGCATTGGGGTGGAAGAGAAGTCACCCCATGGCACCATTTCACCCATAAAATTTTAGTTCTCCTGGTGTAATTCAAGATTATTTTCTTTAAATCAACACTGCACTGCATTACATATTGTCAATATGTAAAATAAATTTCAAAATGACCAATAATTTGCTTGGAAACACAGAAAAAAAGCGTTCAGTTGAAGAGAGTCTCAAGCAAGATGTTACCTCCACTGGAAACAGAGAGAGACTAACGCCTGTCTGGTGTGTTAACAGGCTGGATGGCACGCCAGAAACTAGTTTCTTTACCTTCAATTATGTTCAATAATTGTTAAAATGACTAAAAAAGTTAATATTAAACTTTTAAAATTATTAAATAGTATAAACTTCTTGATATTTAATAAAATAGTAAGGAATTTAA